GGAGATAGGGAAAGCTGCCATAGGAGCAGCAACATCTGAGACTGGCAAGGCATCAGAGGTAAAAGGGAGCTCTCTCCTGAGAGCAGAGGGCGCAGTGGAGTCTGTGGAGCCTGGCAAGCATCCCGTGTTGCAAGTAGCACCTGGATTGAGGGCACTGGTGCCTCTAATGGATCCCATAAGTGAAGGGTTATTTCAGTTGGAGGAGACCACAACAGCAGAGGAGGAGGAGGGCTCAGCAGAAGCACTTTTGAGTGAAACCCCATATCTAGGCAGCAAAGCAAAGACAGAGACTGCAATGGAAGAAAAACCTGATGGAGGGGTGATAGGAGTATCTGTAGAGATAGCCAGAGCAGAGTCAGGAGGTGGAGAGGAGGTCATGGGTGGAGCAGCAGGTCCAAGGGAGCTGGGAGCTGGGATGGAGGGATCACTGGAGTGTGCTAAAAAGAGAGGGAAGGAGAGGCCTCCTGGTGAGGGAGTGGTGGATGAAGCAGCACTGCCTGCCCCAGGGCTGTGTGTGAGCAGGGTGAGGGAGGCAGGGGTGGTGGCTGGTGCCGTGGTGGGTGGCCAGGTGGGGCGAGGGGTTCTGGCTGAGGGAGCAGCAGGGGAGCTGGTGCTGGTGGGGGAGGCGGCGGGGCAGGAGGTGGTGGTGGCGGGGGGGGGGGGGCAGGGGGTGGTGGGGGGGGGGGATGGCGGGGAGGGGGTGACAGGAGCAGTGTGGGGGGAACAGTGTGAGATGGGGGTGGCAGCAGCAGAGGGGGAGTCAGCCGAGGGAAGGGGGGCAGCTGGGCAGTCTGGGAGGGACAGGGAAGGGGCGGCTGATGGAGCTGTGGCCTGCGAGCGAGGGGTGAACCAGGAGGCAGCACTGGGGTGTGAGGGAAGGGGGCCAGCACTGGTGGGGGCTGAGGGCCAGGGCGAGGCAAAGTGGGGGTGGGATACAGCATGTCTCGTGTCCCCATGGCATGGAGAACCGTGTGGAGCGACGTCCCTTGGGGAGCAGCTGATTGCAGGAACCTCCCTGAACACTCCTGCACATGGCGATGGGGAAGTGGAGCCAAGGGGGAGAGGGTCCGCAGGAGGCGAGGGGCTGTGCCTGGGCACCCAGCTGCAGCTGGCAGCTCCTGGGACAGGGGCAGTGTGGGGCAAGGACAGGCTGCAGGAGGGGACAGAGCAGGCAGGAGTGAAAGCTGAGGGGGAACAGCCAGGCCTCCGTGAAAACATGAGAGAGAGAGAGCTAGCAGGTGTCTTGGAGAGTGCATGGAGCGCTTCTGGGGTCAGGGAGCAGAGGAAGGACAGTCCCATAGGAGGGAGCCCAGATACCCTGGGAGCCGATGATACGGGCGAGAGGAGCTGCGGTCCCTGTGAGGTGAGTCCTGTGTGGGTTAGCCACTGCCCCCCATGCCCATTCAAGTCCCCAGACTGGTCCCTGTCAGAAGCAGAGGATGCACCACTTCATCCCGTTTCTTATACTTTCCTTAAGAATCTGCTGCTGGTAGCTGGGGTAAGGGATGATAAATCCTTTTGGGTGGCAGCTTCTGCATTCTTTCCTGTTCCCAAAATCTCATTGCAAATATCTTTGCTCTGGCGCTAATGCTCGCAGCCCCTCAGTAGTGTCGCCCCTCTGGCTGTGCAGAGCAGCTCCCGCCACCCAGCGTGCCGCTTCTCTGCCCGGCACTGGTGGCAGTGGGTGAGCCTCGGCAGCACCCGCTGGCTCTGATGCTCCGGGTCGACGGCAGCACTCAGCTTCTCTGGTTACTCTGGCATCTGCTTGTAGGAAATCTGTTACAGCAGTATCTCAGTAGCTCAAAGTTTAGCATGTTTTCTGTAAAGCTGTTTTCTTGTTGTTTTGTAGGATGTTGTAAACCCAGATGCAGTTGTCGTGCCCTCGGTACAGCCCCAGGATGGGGAAGAAACTCTCCTCTAAGCTTTTTCTGCAGCTCCTTCAGTGTTGTGTCCTGCAACATTTACACAAATCGCTGTAGATTTGTGCTGGTTGGGATGTTCACTCCTTTTACTCCACAAGTACCACAACCATCTGTCACGTTTTACTAGAACAGCTTCTCAGTGTGCAGCAGACAACTGAAATAAGACTGTATATGCCAGCCCAGGAAACAGCACTCCTTCGTAATTATGAAGACAATAATTACAAGGATTGTTCCACAGCTGTCATGCTTGTTTTTCCTAAAACACAGAGAAATATTGGACTGGCTGAATCTCCCCTCCTCCCCCAGGCACTGCTTGCTTCTGCTGGCTGGCAGGAGGGCGGGCTGGGGATAGATGTTCTGTATGTGTTTCCGTAGAATAAGAAGTTTGTCTGTACAGAGTTTGTACAGACTGTTTGACTGTGTCTGTGTTTATGTACTGACTGCATTTTTCAGCGTGTCATTTGCTTTTCTGAACTGCAGACTCTTCATTGTGAGTCAGGGCTGTGTCTTCATTGCTGTGCATAGGACACTTGCACGCATTAATGCTTTGATTCTGATAAGAGCATCTCGGGGCGTTCAGCAGAGATGTGGAACAGCAGGATCATGGGGGGAATGGCGGCCTCACACAGGGGTTTTTAGCTTGGGGGGCTGCCTCCACCCCACGTTACAGGCAAGTGAGCCCTCCAGCGTGCACAGGTGCCCTGTGCTGCCGGGCAGGTGGCATGCAGGAGGGGCTTCTCTCTCCTCGGGGATCCAGGCTTGTTGCTGGCTACACTTCAGGGCATTCTTGGGACTTTGAAATGTTGTTGAAAAAAAAACAAAAAACTTTCAAAACATGGGTATGCCTGTAATCTGAGCAGGTGGAATTTTGGTAAGAAGCAAAACCATCAAAATGGATAATTTTATCATTTTGGATATGCTACCCATGGTACTTTCTGCTCTCCTATCCATTGCTAGTTAGTAATTAACTTCAGAGTGAAAAAATGTAGGTGGCACTTAGGGAAAAACAAGATGTGCACCAAATAAAAGAAAAAAAGGAGACATTGTTAAACTGAACATATGTGAGAAAAGCAAACGATCTAATAGCATTGCCACTGGCAAAACTCATTTTTGGCTCATCACAAAGGCTTTTTTTAGCTCCCAAAACTGTCAGGTATTCTCAGTGGCTTGTCACTGGATGCTGATGATTGTGCCTCAGATGTATCATTACTGGCTTACACAGCTGAAATCATAACCTTGTGACATGACACAGGCTAAATAGGTGCATTTCACCAGCTGAAAAAGAATGCCAGCTGTGTACTATGGACACGGTATGAGAAAGATTGTTCTGAGTCCAGCTCCTGGAACCAGGTACCAAGCCTCTGGCATCCCTAGCAGGGATGCAAGGTGGTGATCTTCACAGCCATCACCTGGAAAGTTTGCAGTGGGGAGCGCCTTGCAAGTGGTGCGTGCATCTGCCTTAAACAAGTGCTCATGCTACAAGGTGGGTTTCTCTGGCTGGGAATTTTCTGTAGTGTTTTGTGTGCTCAGCCGTACAAATCAAGTGCGACCGACCCCTCTGCCCACCTGGCGGGGCTGGGCCCGCTGAGCCTCCCAGGTGGCCCCGCTGGCCTCCCGGAAGCCGCCCGGGAAGCCGGCAGGGGCCACCTCGCAGGAAAACGCCTCCGGCCCCGTGGGCTGCCCCCTGGCCAGGCCTCTGCTGGCACAGCCCTGTCGCGCAGCCGGGGCAGCACAGCCTCTGCTGCGGCAACGCCAGACTTGCTCCTGGTTGCGGTGCATGCACTTGTTTGGTTGGACACCAGTTTATTTTAATCTAGATCATCTATTACTGATATGTTAAACAATTCAAAATATTGCCATAGCTACCAGGCACTGGCTGGTCTTAAAAGCAGGGTAAGAATCCTTGGAGTGTCTCATTCTTTATAAATATTTCAGTGTGCTGGGCTCCTTGGGCTTCTCTGGGAATGGCACAAACTAGTTTCATTCCTGCAAACAACTTTTAGAGCGTGTTCTATTCAGTAATTTACATTTTTCAGAGTTTTCATTTGTATTAATAACTGATCGCTCCCATGACACACGCTTTCCCCCTAAGCCTGATGTTTCTTCTAGAGACCAATTAACTAATACATTGTTTTCTTCAAGGAGCCAGTAATTTTAATTACTGGTAAATTTATTTGCAAGCAGTTGGCCTTGTAAAGAGCTTTCTAAACTACAAAAGTTTGGCCTTCAAAAGCTTTCTGATTTTTTTTTTTTTTGTTGTTGTTGTTTCCGTGTGTCTACTTCTGACACTTTCCAAGGAAGTGCTCAGAGGTCATACCAAGCAGCTCAGGTATAAGTGAGTACATAGAGGCATTAATGCAAATGAAGTCTACTTTCCTTGCTCTATTTTCTCTTCTCTAATCCAGTTTAGATTCTGGTTTTCAGGTACAGCTGCTGTATTAATGAAAAGTCATTGTGTGATTGTTTTAAGCAAGGGAAAAAGACATAGAACAGAGGTATTTGTAAGAAAAAATTCCTGTTGAAAAGGAAGCTTAATGCTGGAACTGATTTTTCAGATATGACAATGGATCCTTTCTGCCCTGTTAGTGTCTCATACACTGGCCAGTGCAAAAACCAAGGAATGAGATCTAAGTTCTGTCCACCCCTCCCTTCTTCAGCTTATTCCCTACCAGTGCTTCAGTAGCTCTACCGTATGAAACATCCGGTCAATTACCTAGTCAGGTAAGGAATTTTCATCAGCATCCCAAATGCACCTTCTCCCGTCTGCTCTGCACGTATTTCCTCAAAGCATGCCAATTTCCAGTGTCACTTTTACTTCTAGAAAGAATACGGCATATTTCCTCCAGTTGCAAAGAAATCTGGATGTTGTTTTGTTGGGTTTGCAGTGAGGACATTGGATTGTTACAGTGGAAACACAACAGAATGGCTGAGTTCAGTGTGTGTTGGTTATGTCGTGTTTGACCCGGAGGGTGTTAGCACCAAGGTCAGAACTGTTTGTTAGCAAAGAACTGGAATTTGTTCAGGGGACACCTCCCCCCCCCAGTGATTTATCCGAGAGGGCAGAATACTAATTGTGTGTTTTACACTCTTTTTCTGCTTTCAGGAACCAAAAATGGGAAATGATCAAGGAGGGTGTTTTTAACCTGAACAAATTCTGGCTGTTTGTATTTTGTCATGCAGATGTGCCTGCCCCTCAGCTCAGATGCTGCAGGGTTAGTGGAGTCCTTGTGCAGGGGTATCTCCTGTCTCATTGGCTGTTTCAAGCCATAAGCTCCATAAATTCTATAGCCATAGTGGGAAATATTCCTGCCAGACAAGGCATTTGCAAAATAACAAAGCTAATCATTGGTTTGAAAAGTTACGATGATGATTGATGATCTCCTTTGATCCATGGGAAAGACTGAAGCTTCCTTTTGCTCGTTTTTATTAAAGCTCTTAGTGATTTGACATAGCATTGCCCATGTTGTGACACTGACTTATTGCTAAAGCTTTGCAAAGATGGAGTGGAGAGTTCTCTGTGGATTTTTCCAGAGGCATGCTCAGAGCAAATGCTCATCATCTCTGAAAGTTGTGACAGTATCCAGGGAAGTACAACAGGCTGTCAGCAGCTCCTTTCCAGTGGTAAGCAGTGTTTAGTCCTCTGAAATGCTGGTCTGCAGCCAGGACGCTGCACTGATGCTTTCTTTTTTTGCTGCACTGAATTCCTCAGTTTCACGACATTTAGGTGTTAAACTGAGAGGGCTAGCTGGTCATAAAAAACTGGCTGAGCCTCAATGAGGAAGAGGCTGCCATGATGTCTGTTGGTGCGATTCAGAGGTAATGACAATATTTTGTGAATGTGAGTGTCAGAGCTTTCTGCCACAAAAAGGAAGAAGTGTGAGTCAGAGAGAAAGAGCTGAAAGCAAGAGCGGTGCCTTGCAATGCCTCCTCACATGAAACTCAACGTAAAAATGTGTTTCTCTCAGTAAGTTGGAAGAGGTGGCACTGCGTTAGCCCACAGACTGCAGCGAAGGCACAGAGGCTGGCGCTGGACCAGAGGAGCTGGTGCTGACAGTCATCAGTCCTTCCTGGCCAGGCGCTGAGGCAGCCCGCTCTTCTGCTCCTGCCGGGGCAGAGTGGGACAGGATGCTCACTGAGCAGCCGCTCGTGGCGATGGGATGGTTTTCCCAGCTCTACTTCTTAGAGGGGTTGGAGTGTTTCATATAGGGTCCGACAAGTCCTCTAGTGAGCTGCATCCAAGACCTTTCTGTGTATTTCTTCTAACATGTACATTAGCCCAGCAGACTGTTGGTGTAAATGAGACTGCAACTGAAACATGAACCAAACAGAACAGAAAGTAACCACTGAGTGGTACCAGGGGCTGACAGCAGATCTGCAACACTTGATGTACAGCTTTATTTCCCTTTCTTCCCCATTGAATTTTTCAGAAAGTGAAACAAAACAATGACAAAACACCTGTAAACTTTGCTAAGTGAAATCTTCCCCGTTTTTATTGCTTCAGGATTGTGAAATTAATGACATGCATGGAAGATGTGAGTCGGTAGAGCCTACTACACATTTACAGTTCATGTGTGTTGCACTGCACGATACCTCATCGCAGACCTTGGTGCAGGGATCATAGTCAGAAGAAACCAACATCCTGAATAATATCCACAAAGCGACACACAGCAATTGTGAACACTGATTTCTACTCAGCCAATAAGACAGTTGTGTCTTTGAATCCAGTTAAGGAATAATATTACAGCAGGATTGCTTGCAGCTAAATTTTGCTAATTTGAAAAAAGACCCCAGAAAATAGCAGCATAATTAACTCTGTAATTGCTTCTAGAAGAAGAGTTCAAGTTCTCCTGCCCTACCTCTTTTTTTTTTTTTTTTTTTTAATTTCCAGTGATCAGAGTTGCTGTTGCAAAGCCCAGTCACGGCACTCATCCAGCTCATCTAGCTCAGCAGGCGCTAGATGGCACTCTGCTGCAATGTTGCTTCAAGTCAAAAATGCAAC